TACTGAATCTTTGGCCTTCACAGATTCCTGGCCTCAACCCTACTGAATCTTTGGCCTTCCCATAGTCCTGGCCTCAACCCTACTGAATCTTTGGCCTTCCCAGAGTCCTGACCTCAACCCTACTGAATCTTTGGCCTTCAGAGTCCTGACCTCAACCCTACTGAAAGGTTCTGAGTCACTTCTACTTATCCAACATCAGTACCTGACCTCACAAATGGGCACAAATTCCCACAAACCACCTCCATAATTTTCAGAATTACCTTTCCCAGAAGAGTGGAGGCTGTTGTAGCCTCATAGGTTGCGTAGGAGGAGGAGCAACTCCATATTAATGTCCATGGTTTTGGAATAGGATGTCCCAGAATCCCATATACTGTACCTGTAGGTAAAATATGGAAAATGCATGAGATCTGAAAAAGGATACTACAGGGAAAAAAATCCAAGCGCACAAATCTCTAGGTGAGATAAATTGTAAGGTCGAGTGATCTGTATATGGAGGTAGTTGGAAGCAAAAGTGAAAGTATCAAAGATAGTACGTTTACAATACAATTCAATTAAGAGGGCCGTGCTCATGAGAGCTTCCAGTCTAATAGAGAGGGGCAAGTTGTACAAAATGTAATAACCGTGAGAGAGATGAGCTGATGGAAAAATTCAAGTGGCATTAAGGTAAAAACCCTTCTGTATGAAGCTCCCCCTTCCCCCAGACCCCCATTATACTTGCCTGAGCCCCATCTTGATCGAGCCTTGTGCATGAGAGCAGTGGCTCTCCCCGGGACTCTCACTCCTCATAGGCTTAGAAACAGGGAGAGGGGCCGAGACCTGCTCTGTGTGTGAAAAGACAGAGCGTGGCTGAGGAGCGAACCCAGATGAGTGCCCCCATAGCAAGCGGCTTGCTATGGGGCAATAAGGGTGGAAGAGCCAGGAGTGCCAGTGGGGGGACCTGAGAAGGGGAGGATTGTGGTTGCTCTGTGCAAAACCATTGCACAGAGCAGGTAAATATGACATGTTTGTTTTTCTTTTAAGCTACTTTTAAAATCCAGTGGTTAGGTGAAAATGGGATAGGCTTCCCTGAAGAGATGAGTTTTCAGGGATCATCTAAAGGTGATCAGAATAGAAGATATCTGAATTTTCAGAGGATGAGAGAGGCTCTGGAGAAGTTCTGAAGGTGAACAAGGAAGTGGGAGACAAGGGAGCTAGAGGGCAGGAGGTCTTTGGAGGAGTAAAGAGGTTAGTCTAGGTGATATTTTGAGAAGAGGTTGGTGATGTGGCTCTGGCAGACTTGTAGGTAACTTTGCATGGTATTACAAGTATTTTGAATTTTAATTGTTAGGCAATTAGAAGCCAATGTAATTATTGCCAAAATAGGGTGGTGGACATTGAGAGGTTCATAAAGTAGATGATTCTGGCTGTAGCTTTCATGATAGACTGAAGGGGGGGGATAGCCTGTGAAGAGGTAGACCAACATGGAGGGGGTTGCAACAGTCAAGGTGAGAGATAATATAGGAGTGAATGAGTAACTTGGTGCTTTAATTGGTTAAGAAGAGGCATATTTTGGAACAGTTACGGAGATGAAGTCTACAAGATTTGGACAGGGATTGAATTTGAGGTTGGAAGGGAAGGTCAGAGTCTAGTATTACACCTAGTACCTTGGCATGAGTGAAGGGACTACTAATACCTATAGTGATTTTGATGGAAAAGTTGGATAGGGGGACACAAGTGGGGAACGAGAGGCTTTAATATTATGAGTTTGGTTTGAAAAAGGGTTATGACATCCCCACCGAGTTAGTAATTTCAGAGGGGATGAGGTTGAGTAGAGAGATAGATCTGGGTGTCATCAGCATAAAGATGATGTTGGAAGTCATGGGAGATTATCAAGTGACCAATGAAGGAGGAGTAGGTAAAGAAGAAGTAGGAGCCTGAACACCAGAATCTTGGAGGATCCTTATGGAAAGAGGAAGTGGAGAGTCATAGGCAACACAGGAAGAATGCTGTGACTGGTAGGAGTAGAACCAGAAAAGCAGCCTTGGAGAACAAGGGAGTGGATTTTTTTGAGGAGGTAGCAGAAAGTACTAGTAGTATGAGTGTGGGGTAATGGCCATTGGTTTTAGCAGAAATCTGATTGATTTACAGAACTGCCCCCCTATAGCAGAAAGCACAAGGTTTAGAGGTGTATATGTAAAACATTCCCAGAGGTTTTCATCCTACATTTATTCTGCATGAATGGGGGCAAATTTTGATGGTATTTGGCTATTTTCTCTCTAGGTCAAATGTTATTCATTCATAAGTGTGAATCATTATAATGTCGCATTGTGTGACAGCACTGATTAGCTAAGCATGCTGTTTTCCATCTCCCTAGATAAAAGAACCTATAATCCTGGCAAAGAAGTCCAACACCACCTACAACATAGTGGGGACTACCTACACACTGAACATCAAGGAACCGGCCTTGGCCACAATTGCGAAGAACGCTGCTCTCCCACCTCCTCCTCTGTCTCCACCCCACGCTGAGCTAAAGTCATTGGACGGCAAAAAGACTTACAACAGCGTAAGCCGCATTGACAAGATCTCGCGCATTGTCTTCCCAGTCTTGTTTGCAATCTTTAATCTGGTGTACTGGGCAACCTATGTCAACCGAGAATCAGCAATCAAGGGAATGATTCCAAAATAATTACAAAAAAAGATTCCTTTTTGACTCCTAACTTGTGTGGGACATGTTACCTGTTTCTTCTCAAGGTATCACCTACCGTTATTAATTTTTTTTTTTTTTTTTTTTAAGATGTCTAAAGGTTCCAACAGATGTAGGAGAATGTTCTCTCGATGAATCCATTGATGGTCAGGTTAGGGAACGTTCAAAATTTTGTAGGTCCTCCTGGACTGTGGCAAACATCCCCTGCCTGAGCCTTTTTAGAGCCTTTTTCCAGAGATAGGCCAGTGCCAGGGATGTCTGCAGAGTGTTCCCCCTTCCTTCTCCATAGGCGCATACTCGCACATTTGATGTGAACGTGCATGCTTGTACAGCGATCTGTGGTCGGATCGTGCATGCACAGCCGGCGGCCATCTAACGTCTGTAGGCTGCTGAGTTTCTCTCTTTATGCTCACTGTGATATCTGCCCTTAACAGGGTACTTTGCTTATTTGTTTTCAGGGCTTATGACTAGTGATGTTCAAATCCAGAGACTCGTCGATTTGCTGACCTTCGATTCACTCCATTATAATCTGTCTGGTCTGCATAGAAGCATACAACTCAAGCATTCTGTCAATAGTGACTTGTTAAATTTTACAAAATTATCTGAAAATGTTCTAATATTGCATACGAGGTGAATCACAAAATTTGCATTTCACCAGCTCCCCAATTTGCATGCCAATCGATTTGCTCATCACTATGTACAACAGAGGTGTCCACATGTGAAATGATTGTCACCTGATCCAGCCAATCATAGCCAGATGTCTACTGGAGGTTTTCCAGCCTATGCAGACATCCGTAGCCATCTCATTTCAATGGAAATTATCAGCTAAGTTCCCTCTGTCCATAGAAAGAAAATGTGCTCATAATAAAATCATTTTTTTGAGACTCGTAGGAAGACAAAGCACAATAAATCTTTGTGTGGGATTACAACCAACTACAAGATGTTTGGACACTATGCACATCAAAAAGGGTCTAGCTCTCTCTATTGATTATACCTCTCTCAGCTCTAGAGCTCAGTTGTCGAAAACAGTGGAAGGTATAACATACTTCCCGCAACTATGTCCACAAACTATCTAAAAGAGAACGCCCATAGAGTGGAGAAAATTACATCCTCCAGTGAGCTTCAGAGAAACCTTTACAGTGAGTACAAAATGTCCTAATTTTTCCTGGATTTATTCGAGGACACAGCACCGTAATGCTTTACGCATGGGATGCCCAAGAGCAGGGCAGCCAAGTACATCCAACAAGGCAAGGAAGCAGGTCCTTATGGTCCAAGGAGCATATGAGTGATCACAGAGCAGGACCTTATGACCAAAGATAGCTTCCACCTATGCAAGCACATCCACCCCATAAAACTTAGTATAGGTGTAGATGGAGGACCATGTCACTGATTTGGAAGCCTGGAAGACCAAAGTTGTGGTAGGGAAAGTAGGATCCAAATGTTTTAAGGCATAGGTTTGATTTGTTGACTCATTTTAGAAATAGTTCTAACCTCCAGGGTCTCTAAAATGGTTGGGTGCATGGATGGTGGTGGCACCAGAAACTAACAAAATATGATGAGCCAGCACACCAAGATTATTTAAGAGATAGAAAAGAGCAACAGGACCAGAGTGTATTCATCTAGGAATGGTTCAAGTAGGCCATTCCACACTCATACCTCCAAGGCCTCTGGAACTGACAGGTGCAACGCAGGCAGTGGGTTATGGTGCCACCCTTGCAGATGGCACAGACTAACCTTAGGTACAGGGCCTAGGTGGCAGTTTTTCTTCACCAGAGCTCCTGAACTTGGAGATGGGCTAGAGACCCCAGTGGTTCCACTTTACTTCTCTGTAACTGCCTCCAGGTTGATGCTCTCAGGTTCATCCCACCAAGGGATAGCAGAAACAGGGACAGCTATGGTGTGGAGAATGCAGTACAAGATGGTAGCCATAAGATTATTCGGGTCCAGGCATGGGTCTTGGTAGGCAAATGGCAGAAGAGTAATCAGGTCTAGGCAGGGGTCTTGGCAGGCAGTAGGGTAGTCGGGTCTAGGCAAGGGTCTTGGCAGACAGAATAGTCTGGGTCAGCAACGATCAGGCAATCCCCCAGGTAATTAAAATGATTCTTGCAACAAGAGATAGCTTAAGGAAAATGCAGCAACAGCCACTTCAAAGCCTAAAGATTACATACACTTTTGGTTAAAGAATACATCTAGTGTCGTTCCAGGGAACTCTAGAAGTCCAGACAGAGAACCTGCAAGAAACATTGGAACTGCTGGCAAGGATTTTGAAGTCGCAGCAGGGAATTCTGCAAGTAGCACTGGAAGTATTGACAGGGATTCAGCAAGTCCCATTGGAAGTCCTGGGAAGGATTCTACAAGTACAATTGGAAGTCCTGGGAAGGATTCTACGACTACAACTGGAAGTCCCGCGAAGGATTCTACGAGTACAATTGGAAGTCCCGGGAAGGATTCTATTAGTAAAACTGGAAGTCCCGGGAAGGATTCTACTAGTACAGTTGAAAGTCCTGGGAAGGATTCTACGAGTACAATTGGAAGTCCTGGGAAGGATTCTACGAGTACAATTGGAAGTCCTGGCAGAGATTCTACGAGTACAATTGGAAGTCCTGGCAGAGATTCTATGAGTACAATTGGAAGTCCTGGCAGAGATTCTACGAGTACAATTGGAAGTCCTGGGAAGGATTCTACGAGTACAATTGGAAGTCCTGAGAAGGATTCTACGAGTACAATGGGAAGTCCTGGCAGAGATTCTACCAGTACAATTGGAAGTCCTGGGAAGGATTCTACGAGTACAATTGGAAGTCCCGAGAAGGATTCTACGAGTACAATTGGAAATCCTGGGAAGGATTCTACGAGTGCAATTGGAAGTCCTGGCAGGGATTCTACGAATACAATTGGAAGTCCCGGGAAGGATTCTATTAGTACAACTGGAAGTCCCGGGAAGGATTCTACGAGTACAATTGGAAGTCCCGGGGAAGGATTCTACGAGTACAATTGGAAGTCCCGGGAAGGATTCTACGAGTACAATTGGAAGTTCCGGGAAGGATTCTACGAGTACAAATGGAAGTCCCGGGAAGGATTCTAGGAGTGCAATTGGAAGTCCTGGCAGGGATTCTACGAGTACAATTGGAAGTCCTGGGAAGGATTCTACGAGTACAATTGGAAATCCTGGGAAGGATTCTACGAGTGCAATTGGAAATCCTGGGAAGGATTCTACGAGTGCAATTGGAAGTCCTGGCAGGGATTCTACGAGTGCAATTGGAAGTCCTGGCAGGGATTCTACAAGTACAATTGGAAGTCCTGGGAAGGATTCTACGAGTACAATTGGAAGTCCTGGGAAGGATTCTACGAGTACAGTGGGAAGTCCTGGGAAGGATTCTAGGAGTACAATTGGAAGTCCTGGCAGGGATTCTAGGAGTGCAATTGGAAGTCCTGGCAGGGATTCTAGGAGTGCAATTGGAAGTCCTGGCAGGGATTCTAGGAGTGCAATTGGAAGTCCTGGCAGGGATTCTAGGAGTGCAATTGGAAGTCCTGGCAGGGATTCTAGGAGTGCAATTGGAAGTCCTGGCAGGGATTCTAGGAGTGCAATTGGAAGTCCTGGCAGGGATTCTAGGAGTGCAATTGGAAGTCCTGGCAGGGATTCTAGGAGTGCAATTGGAAGTCCTGGCAGGGATTCTAGGAGTACAATTCGAAGTCCTGGGAAGGATTCTACAAGTACAATTGGAAGTCCCGGGAAGGATTCTACTAGTACAACTGGAAGTTCTGGGAAGGATTCTACTAGTACAATTGGAAGTCCCGGGAAGGATTCTAGGAGTACAATTGGAAGTCCTAGCAGGGATTCTAGAAGTACAATTGGAAGTCCTGGGAAGGATTCTACGAGTACAATTGGAAGTCCTGGGAAGGATTCTACGAGTACAATTGGAAGTCCTGGGAAGGATTCTACGAGTACAATTGGAAGTCCTGGGAAGGATTCTACGAGTACAATTGGAAGTCCTGGGAAGGATTCTACGAGTACAATTGGAAGTCCTGGGAAGGATTCTACGAGTACAATTGGAAGTCCTGGGAAGGATTCTACGAGTACAATTGGAAGTCCTGGGAAGGATTCTATGAGTACAATTAAAGTACTGGATTCTGGAAGTCTTTGCAGGCCTTGTTGCTCTTTTCTGTGCTCGGAATATTGGAATGCTGGCTCAATGTATCTATCTAAAAATGTTCCCATCAGAAGCCAGGACACCTTTGTGTAGGATGGGACCGTACGCACCGAGGAAGTGTAGGGGTATAACCACTATGGGTAGCATGCCTCTTTCTGATTTTCAGAGTGTCCACATGTCAATAATCCCTGTGCTGTGTCCTCCAGTGAATGAAGGAAACATTAATGCCATGGATGTCCACCCAGTACATAAACATGCATGCTCAGCCTTAACATGCATTTCTTTGGATCTCTGAATGTGCATAACATATCTATTGGCACCTTTACCTCAATATTTGGAGGCTCAATCATCATATTTGTATCTAGCTTATGACCATAAAGCAAACAAACTTCACAACGTCAACACTTAATTCTCCCTTTGCTGGCTGGTGTCCCTACAAAACCTTATTTTTATCTGATCTTTACTGTGCTATACTATATGCTGTGATTTTCTGCCAAAACATTGCTATTCACGCCCCTTTCACACAAGTTTCTATCTATAGTAAGTATAGTCTCTACTTTTTACAAATGCTGCACAAGTCTTTGCTTTTTTTCGGACAATGATATAAACATATCCAAACTGCTTTTTATGATGCACAATGAATATGTCTTTTTTGCTATGAAATGTTTACCGACAACACTGTTTTGTGTCTTTGCTGTTTACTGACAATTTGCTTTTGAGGTATCTTGCTTGTTCTATTGTTATGCTTAGTGCTGTGCTTTTTATATCATAGCAGGACAGTAAATTTGCGCATACAATGACTATGACTTGCTGTTTAGGTGCCTGAGTATTACACATTATACAGCCAAAAATTTTTGGACATCTGACCTTTACACCTACCTATGTGGCCAAAAGTATGAGGACACCTCTCCAAAATAAGGCATTCACGCATTTCCAGTGAAGGGTGCTGCTAATGATATGGCATACAAAGATATTTTTGCCAATTGTAGGTTTCCAACCTTTGCGGAAACAGTTTGGAGAAGATGGTGCAAGCATGACTGTGGTTCCGTGTGCAAAGTCAGCTCTATAAAAGACATGGTTTGACCAGCTTGGTGTCGAGTATTCTGCACAGATCTTTGACCACCCTACTGGACACCTCTGGGATGAATCGGACCACTGTGAATCAGGCCTTCTCGTCCAAAATCAGTACCTGACCTCACAAATGGAATGGGTACAAACTCCCACAAACACTCCAAAATCTTGTTGAAAGCTTTGCCAGAATAGTGTAGGCTGTTAAAGCCACAAATGTGGGGTCAACTTCCTATTAATGTCCATGGCCAACACAAAGCCATGTGTTGGGATGAACTAGAACACCATTGGTGTGCCAGGTCTTCTCAACCAACATCAGTACTTTACCTCACAAATTCTCCTCTGGCTCATCGCGTATAAATTCCCACAGACCTGCTCCAAAATCTTGTGGAAAGCCTTCCTAGAAGAGTTGGAGGCTGTTATAGCCACATGTGAGGGGTCGGTTTCCTTTTAATGTCCATGACCTACAGAGAGCCCTGAAGCCTTCTGAACAATTTTGGGATGGAATAGAATGCCAATGGTGAACCAGGTCTTATCCAGCAGCAGTACCTGACCTCATGAATTCTCTTTTGGCTGAATGGGCACGAATTTGCACAGACAAACTCCAAAAATCCTACCCAGAAGAGTGGAGGCTGTTGTTGCCACAAATAAAGGTCCATTTCCTATTAATCTCCATGGCATTCACAGAGCCTTCAGGTGTTCTGAACACCTTTTGGGAAGATCTTAAACACCAATGGTCAGCCAGGTCTTCTCATCCAAAGTCAGGACCTAACCTGAGAAATTCTCTTTTGGCTAAGAGGGCACAAATTCCCCCCAGATGCAGTCCAAAATCTTGTTGAAAGTCTTTCCAGAAGAGCGGTTCGCTGCAAAGGAGCATCGACTCCACGATAAAAGTCATGACTTTGGACTGAGATATCCACCAAGCTCATATAGGTGAGCATGTCCAACAAGCTCATATACTGTAGGTGAGCCTGTTGGACCTAGCAGGTGTCCAAAAACCTTTGGTCATATAATTTAGAATTCAATCCCACAGCTTTCAGGTTTTGAGACATTACACTGTACAAATAATTATTTTTATGCATAGAATTTAAAACCGAAAGCTGTGGTCATTGGATGAATATCACCGAGAGCAAGATTCTATTTAGGATGGACATTAAAGCTGAACTTCAGGCAGATATAAAAGATACAAACCTAATGACACTAGGTACTCATATGGAAGAAAAGTATATTTAAAAAATATTCTTCACGAATATAGTGACATATATTTTAAATACTACAGTGTTGGCCATATTCAATATATTTAAAAAAAATAAATAAATAAATAATTAAAAAAAAATATAAAAAATTATATATATATATATATTATATATATATATATATATATATATAAATGCATTTCAACATACAGTGTGTGTGTGTGTGTATATATATATATATATATATATATATATATACACACACACACACACTGTATGTTGAAATGCATTTTTATTACAAAATATATGAAAAATATTTTTTAAAAATACATTTCAAATATACTGTATGTCTTTAAAAATACAAATCTACATTTTTGGAACGCATTTACAAATATATGTAAAAATATATGTTAAAATTACTTTTTTACATGTAAAAAAAAATCTGAAGAATATATTTAAAAAGTATATTTTTCATATATTTTATAATATATAAAAAACGCATTTCAACATGCAGTGTATGTATGTATGTATGTATGTGTATATATATATATATATATATATATATATATATATATAAAAATATATTGAATATGGCCAAATTGTAGTATTTCAAATATATGTCAATATATTTGGGAAGAATATTTTAAAAATAGATTTTTCTTCCATGTGGGAGTCCTAAATATATAACTCAATATATTATTTACAATGTAACAAGTACCTAAAGTGAATTTGGTATTGGCCTCTTGCAATCTGCTATAGAGCAGCTCTCAGAATGGCAGAGGGAAAGGCAGGTCTGGGAGCCAATCAATTGTTCTGCATGCATATTTGCTAACAAGTAGCACACTGATAGGGAGGGAGAGCAGAGTGAGCAGAGAGATGACCTCATTATTGTATATCTGCCTAGAGATCAGCTTTAAATGGCATTAAACACGTTATGCAAACATTAATACCGCGGCACTCAATCAGGCATTTATCTATCTGAATCTAGCCACACGCTCGGCTGTAATAATGAGATAATGTGGTTGGTTTGCTTTTTAGAAAAAAAAAAAAAAAAAGTAGAGAATGAGCCAATGTCCCCTGAGCCAATTTAAGCTGTGTTTACTTTGAATAGCCAATCAAATGTGAGGGGATTTATAAAACATAGTTTACCTTTCACCTTTCATGATTGCATGACTAAAGCCTACACACAGTTTGAATATCGTCCGGTGCCTCCTGAACCGGCTGATATTCGACCCTTCTATAGGTTTTAGATTCGAACCATGTATGGGCAGGCTGATTTGATCGGTCAACTTGGGTAAAACCAGCATGTTAGATTTGTATGTGATTATTGCCAGCTGCTATAGCAATAATCACTGTGGGATGGCTCCACCCACTGAGAGAACACAATGGCTTCACGGGAGAGATTTTTCCCATCAACACTGACCGTTGATGGGGGAATCAAGAGATTTTCTTTCCGGCAACCTGTGGGTGCAGGAAAGAGAATCGCTCCATCTATATGGATGGCTGTAAGTCACCAATATACCCAATGAGTAAAAAAAAAAACCCTACCACCATACTGTGAATGGGACATGTATATGACTGCCATGTTTTTATAAGGGGAAAATTAGATTTGTTTTTGTGTGTTCCTTTAACATTGTCCACTTCTCATTTAATATACAAAATTGCCTTGTTTGTGAAGGCAATTTTTTTTTTTTTTTATCGATTACTCCAAATTTACACAATTTCAGTTCCTTTAAAATGAACAATCCTTCAGTATGATATGTTGACATCTCAAGATAATTCATGCTATTGCCAGACTCCGATTTATTGCCATGACCAGGGGCGGACTGACCATTTGGAAACGCCGGCACTGCCCGGGGTCAGTAGGGGGCCCCATGAGATGCCCCTGGTACCTTTTTCATAGGCTCTTTTGAGTTTGGGCAAGGACACAGGGGCCACATGACCCCCTATTGCCCGGGGGAGCCATGAGTTGTCAGTCTGCACCTGGCCATGACCCTCCCCCCACCAAACTAACTGCACAGGTATGGAAGCCATGTTTCTGCAGAAGGCAGTCCAGATGTAGAGTAGACGGGGATTTTTTTTTTTCGAAATTTCGGGGAAAAAAAATTGTTTATCACAAATATTTTGTGGACAATGCAAAAGATTTATATGCTTGACCGGACTTGACCTTGTGACTGTAACCACAGACTTTATTTTTTTTTTTTTTTACGTGTGATGTGCCAAGTGGGTTTCAGTAACGTAATCAGGTATTGCTGTTTGATATTTATGCTAAAAAAAAATAAAAAAAAAAAATGTAAAAAACTTTAAGAATTTTTTTTTTTTTTTAAAGTAAAGCTGGTATCAAATGTCTGACATCCAAAGCTACAGAATAAAATAAGTATCATTTTTAGGAATTTTTTTTTT